CGTCCGAAAACCCAGCAGCTAGAATTTGTGACACACTGGTCATCAAGGTTCGGGAAGTTAATTTTACAACTACGTGGTACTTCAAATCACTAACTTTCCTGGTCTTCGAGTTGACAATTTTCCCGCCAAGAGCTTTATGGGTCCGTGCGTTAGAACCACGCGCACCTGTGGACTGAACTTGATATCTTTAAGTTGTACGTGGGCTAGAAGCACTTACTCAGAATTTCAACCTCCCAGCTTTCTTGGTTCTCGATTTAGTTATCCTTCCACCAAAAATTTTCATAGAGCTATACGTGAAAGTCACGCGCTCCTGGGAGGTGAATTTGATGCTTTTAAGTTGTACGTAGGCTGGGAACAGCCTGTTTAAGTTTCAGCCTCCCAGCTTCCCTGGTTCCTAAGTTAGCTATTATCCTGCCGAAACTTTCACTGCTCGCATGTGGGGCGCAGACGTACGTGAAGACTGTTACTGCAGCCCTGGGGTGGTATTTAGCCGGGGAATTCACTGGCATGATTTTAGCGCCGGAGCGCTGCACAAGCGTCCACGACCGCTGACTTTGAAACTCGTATCTCATACGTGCACAGAGCATATCTCTGCAAATTTTCAGCTTTGTACCTTACCTGTTTCACGAGACCGTCTTTCACCAAAGAAATATGCATATTTATTTCGGGGGTTCGTACGCGCCTGCTTGGTTGCCGAGTTGCATTTTCATTTATGCAAAAACGCCTAAAAGAAAGTCCATACATTCTGATGAGGCCAGGCTTTCTGAAGTAGCTTAACTGCTGTGGAGGAAAAAATCCCTCTGATATTTCTTCTTTGGGTATGACTTTCTCCCTTGGTGGTGCATTTGTTGAAGTGAATTGTCAGTTTCGAATATTGAATGAAATGGACTTATCAAATGTTTGAGGGACATGGATAGTTATAGAAAATTGCTTCTGTAAGACATCGATGTTCAATAATCAGGAAACAAAACCGGAGGATTGTTTACTCAACTACAAGAAATA